CATTGCTTACTAGATTTTGCTAACCATACTGGTTAAAATTGTATCAACGGAAAGAAGTTTTTCAAGTTGAAATTTATCAAAACTTACCTTCGATCAACCATATTACAGTAAAGTTTGAATGAATTAATCATATTATCTATTAAAAAAGAATGGTTGAACAACCCGACTATCCAAAATTAATTGATATTTTTGTCTCTAAAACTGCAAGACGAGCTGTATTTAAATGATCATTTAGAATATTGTTGCATTATTATTTGATTGTAATATAAATAATTTGAATATTTCATTTTATTTTTTTATTGTTGATTTTAATTTAACAAATTTAATTCCGTAAAACTCTTATATATCAAAAAAAAAAAAATTGACTACTTGCTACAATTTAGGATCTCTAATTTTGAAGTTCGCTCCGAACATAGCGAAACAAAGGTACGACCCTTACTTTTTGAAGAGTTGCGAGTGAAATTTATAAATAAGATTCAACATCTTTTGAATTCTATATATTAAAAGTTAATATTCTCTTTGAGTCTTCTCCCCAAAATTGTGGGCCTATTTGAGCTACATTATACTCCAAGAATGCATTTTAAAATAGTGATTTGATGGTGAATATGTGATTAAAAAATAAGGAAAATTTTTAAATTTACGTGTAATATTATTTTAATGAAGAATGTATGGTTAAAAATAAGATTAGATAAAATGTATTTTTTTTTAAAAACGGGGATCAAACAAGTGTACAGTGTGTATAATTCACACTTCATATTTTCCAAGGTTGGTTTGTATTTTGTAATTCCAAATACATAATACAAACATCTAGAGTTTGGCTTCTTTTCAACTTAGTGTTTGTGTTATTTTTGTTGTATTCTAAGGGCATCTTTGCTTAACCGTATGCATCACTAGTATAGTGTGGGCAATATCGTCTTAAGGAAAGCGTTATGTGTAATGTACCATGAAACCAAGATTTCATCTTAAAGTTCAAGTGATTTTCTTTAACTTCATCTACTTCTTGCCCGGATAAATTGAGAAATAGTCGCAACGACTTTTTTCTTAATTGATTAGTTCATCTTTCATATGCTAAGCGATACTACGTCCCATACTTTCTTGAATTTTTCTAGTAAAACCTAATTATAGAGAACACTCAACCATAAGTAGGTAAAGCAGTTCATCAAAGACTCCAAGTAAAGATAAAATTCAATTGCTTTCTTCAAAAAAATTCTTTATTATTCTTGTAAACTCCTTTTCGAGTTTTCGATTATTGATCTCAAATTGCTTGAACAAGCTCTATCTAACTACCTATAAAAAATTTNTCAATTGCTTCCTTCAAAAAAATTCTTTATTATTCTTGTAAACTCCTTTTCGAGTTTTCGATTATTGATCTCAAATTGCTTGCACAAGCTCTATCTAAATACCTATAAAAAATTTTAAGCATTTGAAGCTCTAATTTTATTTAACTAAGAATCAAAACAGAAAGAAATAAAGATATGCAGAATTTATAGAGGTTCGACACAACATGACAACTCCCTATAAAACAAATTAGTACAAAATCTAAATTTACAAGGACTCAAATTCTTTTGACGAAATTTAAAAGGACACAAATTTCTAAAATTTCCTTAATAAAATTTTGTTCGGGACGAACCCCGCTGCTTCTTGCCCCCCTTTCAAGCCTCACGATAATTTAATCGTGGTGGTCGATTCGCGTACTGACTTCACAGAACGACAATAATTAGATTTCACAACCTAACAAAAACTTTATAGATTTATAGCATATAATATATGAATTGATCTCCATCCAACCCCTAAACTAAACCAAAGTTCCATTTTGAACACCTAATAATTAAACATATAATAAATAAATATCTTATTTTCATTTATAAATTTTATCTTTCAACTCCTATATCCAAGTCCCCATCAAAATTAACTATCAAACCTCCCTACATACAAATAAATAAATGAAAGAAAGAAAGAAAAGATATCTCTATAAATTAAAATACAAACGACTAACTCTAAAGCAAGTTTACTTTCTCTTTCTTCACATAAAATGTCAACTAATATAACTTACATACGCAAATGTTTAGTCAACATAATTAATGAATTTATCTGCTCAAATTGTTGACTAGCACAACTTCTATCTATATATGGAAAGGAGATCCCTTTCTAAAACTGAAAATTTACTAGAAGGTTATTAAAATAATTAAAAAACTACTAGTGAAGTCTTGATGATACAATATCAATCTTATGTCGACAAAGTGTTTTTTAGCACCTTAACGATGAGTCGTGAGTTTCATTTGCCACACATCAAGAAATTCTTCGAAAGATTTATGTATAAATCGATAGTGACAACTGAAACAAAATTAGAAATTCGCTGATTATCTGCTAAAAAATGTTGGGTGACTAACTTTATTTAAAAGAATTACATCTACTTGTACTTATTTGTACAATTCTCACTCTCATCTCAAACATAAAATTTTAGGCGTGTAGCTTTTGATTAAACGGCATGCTTGTGACTAAAATATGTTGAAGATAAAATTAAAAAGAACAAATCTATTCTAGTTTAATGTTTGAAAAATGCTATGCATCCCTAATGGGGATGTATCCACAGTTTATGTGGATGTAAATGATTGGTTAAATGATATGTGAAATTAAATGACTTATTTAATTTCACCTATCATTTAATGCCACATTAACGCCACATGGACTGGGGATGCATCCCCAGTGGGGATGAATATCATTTCTCTTAATGTTTTATATTTGTCCTCTTGTGGATGCGGCTCATTTAGACTTTTTGAGGGTCGAGTAGAAGGATATATATCATCCCCTACTAACACTAGGCATTTATGACTTGCTATGTCAAAACCTCTATAATTTCACCGAATAAAGCTATTTGTACAAAAAG